GTGATGTAGCATTTTTCCAGGGGAAAGTGTCCTTACACATCCAAAGGTTTAGTATGACTCTAAGCAGCAGGATCAGTTCCTCTGGTGACAGGAGACCCGGAAGGGGCAGCACCCCCCTCAGGGACCCCTCCGCTCCCTCCCTGTGTGGAGCTGGGTCATCTGATTTGCTTGGTTTCCGCTTCTCGAGGTCTCCTGATGGTTCCTTCATACTTTCACGTGCTATGGTTCTCTGAGTTGTCCTAATCCTCAAGTGACAGTGGGAATGTCGCAGCCTCTCTGTGGAGCTAAAGGTTCCATTTCTGTTGATCCCCCCTACAAAGTCTGGGGTGGAGGTTCTGCGACCTGGATGGGTGTCGGTGGAGCCAGACGAGTCTCTTTAGTGTGAGGCCTGGCCAGGGCAGAATGTGACAGACAGTTGGGGCGAGTGATCCTTCAGAGGAGCGGGCCCTCCACAGAGCCAGGGTGCAAGATGAGGGGCCCCAGGATGTTTTATGGTGAAAAAGTATCAGCAGATCCAGTGATTCTTTCTCCATTGCGGTTTTCGAAGTGGGCAGCCAGGTTCCCATTAAGCCAACTGAGTCAACCCTCCCCTTCTTTCCCTGAGCCACCCCCTGCTCTCTCCCCCAAAACTTGGAATTCTCTTCCTCTTCTTTGCAATCTTTCTGCCGTTCATCACGTTAGCAAGTTGACACGGTGGTGAGGACTAAACTCTGATTTTTTTATCTTGCCCAAATTCCTAAGGGGTTTGGGGAATCATGTGCTACAAACCATAAATTCTCATCAGATGGGTTTTATTTAACCCTAGATATTGTGACTTACTTTCCAGCTTGACTCTGGCATAATGTTATGAGATAAGGAAGAAAATCAAAGTATTTTACCCCAAATCATATTTCTTTGTGGGTAACACGCCCCATGGGCACTGAGGAAGGAGAACTGTCCAGACCCCAGGCACAATTAGTGCCTGAAGAATATCTTATAGTGTTATTACTCAGCTATTTCCTTTATATAATCCTTTATATATAATCATATATTAGTTTATAGAATTCGTGCCTGAAGTATAACTTACTGTTTACTGTATCTAGCTTATAGATATAATCATACCTAGTTCCATGTAATCTTTCTATATAATCATATAGGTATTGTACTCAGAGCTGTACTGACATTTAGTGATGATTTATACAATCCTTCCATATAACCATATAGTAGTTTATAGTACGAGGAATGCCTAGAGCAGTCACAGAACAGAAGCAGTACATGGGAAAACAGCCAGACCAGGACAAGAACCAAAGACCCAGGCGGTGGCGTCCCTGCCTGAAAGGGCATACGCTGTATGGCAGGCTTGGAGCAAGAGCCTCTCCTCCTGATAAAGGAGTTGTAGTACCTTGCATCCAGTTCCTGTGGAAAGTAAGCCTCAGGCCTGAGATCCTGGAAATAACCGAGGGAGAAGAACCCCTCTGGTGTGACCAGTCACCGAGGCTGTATACCTCGTCAGTCTTTTCTCGCTTCTGTGCTAGCTCAAATCATCCTTCCATAAATATCTTAAGAGAAGAGCATAGGCTGGGCGTGGTGGCTCATGCCTGTAATCCAAGCACTTTGGAGGCCAAGGCGGGCGGATCACCTGAGGTCGAGAGTTCAAGACCAGCCCGACCAACATGGCGAAACCCTGTCTTTAAAAAAAAGAGAGAGAGAAGAGCACAAGTCTGTCAGCTCCCACTGCATTGGCTTATTACAGTATCCTTCTGCTAGAAATACTTTGAAGTAAAAAAAAAAAAAAAAAAAAAAACAACCTGTAACCACTGGTTTAGCTTAGTAGTGAAAATGCAGAATAATAAGTCTATCTGAGCTTTTCTTAAATTCTGACATTTAAAATATCAGAAAATTTAAGACAAATTTAAGAAAAGATCATCCACATTTGTGGATGAGTGTAGTTATAACCTGTAGTTATTTAGAAAAGCTTTAGCAAGATTCAAATGTTCTCCTCCTTCTTTTACAAAATAATCTGGTTAATAACGGAAGCTTCTGCTTTGCTTTCTTTCTGGAGTAGGATAGCCATAATTTCCTGTGGCAGGGCTGGAGCCTCTAATTGATTCCAAAGGCCGTTTGACAGTGTTGCCCTAAAGCTACCCTGGATGTTCACCAGCACTCCAAGATCGAGGAGCTGGGTCTGTTTGTGTGGGCCATGCTGAGGCTATTTGTTAGTAATTGATTGGCAAATTTTTGCTTCAAAATAAGTTAAGGGAAGGTCTCCTAAACATTTGTGTTCAGATAAGCCTCACAAAATAAGAGTTTTATTCTTGAAAATGACGGTAAATATGAATCTTTAAATGCAAATAATTGAAAAGATAATTATAGAAAGATAAAATATTGTTATAATGTCTGTCACAGGCTACATATATTATGAATAAGTTTACTCACACGAGTAATGTGTATATATTATATATAATATACATATAGCCACACTATAGTTGAAGTGAAAATGTTCCAGTTGTTTATAAGAGCATGAGATACAGAATTTAATGTGCAGCATTTTTAAATTTACAAATTATAATGTAATTTTATGTTCTGAAAATAAAACATGGACATTATAGATAATTTGAAGATTTATAAATTAAAAATTAACTTGCATTTTCTTAGAAATAAAATTCATTAATATGTTGGAATATTTTTAGCCAGGCATTATTTTCAAATTATAAAGTATTTATTATTTAATTAAGATAATAGTTCATGTACATGTTTTATTGCATTGTAAATTTCACCTTGTGCTGTGAACATTTTTCCCATGTCTCTAAATAGTCTTAAAACATATTAATTGACTGCCTATTAAAAAAACATCCTTTGAAGTCTCCAGCCCCCAGATAAGTGTTGTGCACGACACCTGTTGCACACAGCTCACCTCCTTGCCTTGGTGACCTAATGGGGGTGGACCCCTTTTCCGTACACGACCCTCTACTACTGTGTACGGCACGGCCCCCACTGCACATGGCCCACCTCTCTGCCAAGGTGACACAATGAGGTGACCCCCTCGCTTGTGAGTCATGTGATTATGTATGCCCTATCGCTAGGCCTATAGACGATAACCTCACTTATGACCCTTCCCCCTGCTTGTACCTAATAAATACAGATGCTTCTGCGAGTTCGGGGCTGGCCTGTCTCCAGTCACAGGCGGCATGGCCCCCCGAGTCCAGGTGCTCTTCATCAGTTCTTCAGTGTCCAGTCTCTTTACTTCTCAGATCCTGCATCTCAGCACAGCATAAGGGACACCCCAGGACCCTGTGGGGCCCAACAGCCCTACATTTCTTTGCCATAATTTGAAATGGCCCTGCAAAGCTGTTCTTTGTGGGGGAAACTTTGCATCTGTAAAGAATGTCTATTAACATAGCTAGATCTTTTTCTTCCAGACCCTCCCAATCCTAAAGAGATTAACTAAAATCTGAGTAGGAAACATTTGTCATCTATTGTCTTTAAGGGCAGCCACTATAAGACTTCAAATAACTTTTTTTTTTTTTTTTTTTTTTTTTGAGACGGAGTTCTGCTCTTGTTACCCAGGCTGGAGTGCAATGGCGCGATCTCGGCTCACCGCAACCTCCGCCTCCTGGGTTCAGGCAATTCTCCTGTCTCAGCCTCCTGAGTAGCTGGGACTACAGGCACGTGCCACCATGCCCAGCTAATTTTTTGTATTTTTAGTAGAGACGGGGTTTCACCATGTTGACTGGGATGGTCTCGATCTCTTGACCTTGTGATCCACCCACCTCGGCCTCCCAAAGTGCTGGGATTACAGGCTTGAGCCACCGTGCCCGGCCTTCAAATAACTTTTTACACCATCTTTACCTTAACCTGAACATTCCCTTCCTATGAATCCCAGGTCTCTAGACAAACTCAATCAGTCGTTAACCAGAAAATGTTTAAATTCACCTATAGCCTGGAACTGTGCACCCCCTCCCCCGCTTTGAGTTGTTCCTCCTTTCTGGACCAAACCAATGTATTTTTTTTTTTTTTTTTTTTGAGACAGAGTTTCGCTCTTGTTACCCAGGCTGGAGTGCAATGGCATGATCTTGGCTCACTGCAACCTCCGCCTCCTGGGTTCAGGCAATTCTCCTGCCTCAGCCTCCTGGGTAGCTGGGATTACAGGCACGTGCCACCATGCCCAGCTAATTTTTTATATTTTTAGTAGAGATGGGGTTTCACCATGTTGACCAGGATGGTCTCGATCTCTTGACCTCATGATCCGCCCGCCTTGGCCTCCCAAAGTGCTGGGATTACAGGCGTGAGCCACTGCGCCCAGCCCAATGTATTTCTTAAATGTATTTGATTGATGTCTCATACCTCTCTAAAATGCCTAAGACTGGCCAGGCTTGGTGGCTCACACCTGTAATCCCAGCACTTTGGGAGGCCCGAGGCGTGCAGATTGCCTGAGGATGGGAGTTTAAGACCAGTTTGACCAACACAGAGAAACCCCATCTCTACTAAAAATACAAAATGAGCCGGGCCTGGTGGCGCATGCCTATAATCCTAGCTATTTGGGAGGCTGAGGCAGGAGAATTGCTTGAACCTGGGAGGCAGAGGTTGCGGTAAGTTGAGATCGTGCCATTGCACTCCAGTCTGGGCAATGAGAGCAAAAGTCCATCTCAATAAATAAATAAACAGTATAAAAACAAGCTGCACCCTGACCACCTTGGGCACGTGTTCTCAGGACCTCCTGAGGGCTGTGTGATGGGGCCATGGTCACTCATATTTGGCTCAGAATAGATCTCTTAAAATATTTTAGAGTTGGACTCTTTTCCTTGACAGTGGGAAGGGGAGGAGCATCGGAACCCAGCAGACAGATGGGGTTTCCCCTTTCTAACTGCATGAGGACGCCCGACCTCTCCAGGGGCCTTGTTCCCCTGGGAACTGATAACATCACATCACAGTTTTGTTGAGCATGTGACACTAAGACCACACGTGTAAGTGCAGCTGGCACACAGTAGACCCTGAACAGGCACCTGTTCCCTTCTCTCTAGAGCCAAGCCCTCTGGAAGAAACCCAGCTGCATCTGGTCACCAGCGACTCGGAAGCCCAACGTGCATGCAGCTTACAGAACAGCCACACGCGGTCCCACGTGTCATGCTCTCCCTGGTCTTTCGGTTTTGGTGCTTTCCTTTATTGGCTCCCTCCTGCATGTCTTGAAGCAGCTCTGCTCTCTGGTTTCCCCAAGCAGAGCTCCCAAGATCCTCAGACTCCTGCTGGAAAGGAGTTCCTGCCTTGGGTGTGCCTGAGTGTGCTGAGTTGAAAGGCATTTTTTTTTTGAGGTGGGGAGCTGTGTGTGCACAACACAGCGAGGGAGTGACCCCGTCCAGGGAGCTGGCTCCCCTTAACAGAGCGTGCGGGGGAATCAAGACCCAGGCTCTATCAAAATGAGGGCCGGTAAGGAGCGGTTGGGCGAGGGGGCGTGGGCGTCAGGGTAGAGGCCTCAGTAAACAGAGCGTTGAACAAGGGCCTCTCTCAGCTCCACCCTGGCCTTAAACCCCACGGTTTGCAGTTCGGCTCCAGAGGCCTCCCAGTGACCCCAACGTCATTCCTCCGTGATGGCTGAAGGCAGAAGATAAGCTGGACTCCTGGAAGCCGACACCCCCAGGGAAATTCCATCACCTGCCGACACCCCCAGGGAAATTCCATCACCGGAGCACTGTAGACTCAGCTGGGGTAAGGGTGGGATGGGGGGAGGAGGGTGGGATGGGGGGAGGAGGGTGGGATGGGGGGAGGAGGGTGGGGCTGGGGCGATAAGAGCCTTCTGGGGTGGCGGAGGCCCTCAGTGAGGCCAAGGCCCGCGCCTGGGGTAGGTGCCGGGCGAGGGGGTGGGACCCGAGGGGAAGGTCATCCGCAGCCGTGGCCCTGGCCCTGTCTAATGGGTCTAATGGGATATCCTGGTGGAAAGCGAGTGGGGATCTAATTAGGGTAAAATCCGGGGCTAATGAGCTGTGGCAACAGCGGGACAAAAGAACGGTTGCCACAAGCCCAGGATGAGCTCCATTCTGCCTCCTTCCCGGCTTCCTTCCCTCCCTGGCCTCGCACCTGCCGTGCGTCCACCGTGTCCCCGTGTCCGTGGCTGCTCCTCCGCTCCAGCTCTGCTTGTCTTCCCAGCCCATTCGTCCCCTTTCCCTCTCCTCTGCCCCTGGTTCTTCAGCCCACGTGTCCCTGGCATCGCCCTGCGGTTCTCCCCCTCCAGGAGTGCGGAGAGCTGGGCTCTGGGCTCCCGGGGTGGGCTGGGTGGCAAAGGGTGAGCCCGGGATGGTTGCCTAGGCAATGAGGAAAGTAGGACAAACACCAAGCAGCAGTCAGGAGGAAAGAGGCGCCCACGGAGGAGGGGACTGCGTCCCAGCCCCACTGTCCCCAGCCTGGCTCATCCCGAGGAGCTGCTCCTGAAGGAAGTTGGGGTGTCTCTGCGGGAGCTCCTGCCGGACTCCCTCACAGCCGCATCTGCACCAGGTCCTTGGGCCAAAGCGATTCGGGGGCGCCCTCATCCTCAATGCGTGGCCTTCTCAGCAGGCCCAGGGCATATCCTTCTTCCAAAAGACCAGCCCATCAGGGCAGCCCCAGGAGAGCAAACTAGCAAGGCAAAGGAGGGCAGGGTCCTCACCAGGGCAGCACGCTGCTGTTTCTGAGCTGGGAAGCAAAGGACATACTTCTTGTTGGCAGCCATGGCCAACGGGTTTTGTGGAGGAGGCAGGAGGAGCTGTGGGGCCTGCCCTGCAGGAAAGGAAGAGGCCTGGGACTGGGAAGAGCTGGGGGTAGGACTTCCAGATGCTTCAGACGTGGGACCTGGGCGGGGGGTGCCTGGCGTGCAGGAGGCCTTTCCAGGCGGGGAGGGAAAGAGACAAGGGGACTAAGGTCTCGGGACCACACCATGGTGGGGAGGACAGTGTTCACGTGCTGAGGCCTCAATAGAAAGCCTGATGGGTACAGGTGCCCTTCAGGCTGGAAGGCAGTGGCGGGGTGGACAGCTGCCCTGTCCTGAGTTGGGCGCTGAGCTCTCGTGGGCTCTGGAGAGACTGTAGCCTACACTGCCTCGGCGAGGTGCCTGGCCAGGGTGTGCTCATGCCATGCTGTGCCCTGAGGACTCTCTGCTCCTCCCCAAAACGGGGTGCGCTTATCTGCCTGTGCCACTACCCTACCCCAAGCTTCAGGCCTATGAACTCCACCTGGGGGTGTGGCCATGGTTGTGGGCCAAGCTTTGGACAGGTGTTTCTGCTGCCTGGCTAAGGACTTGCTGGGGCTGGCTGAGGCCATCACTGACTTCGTGGTAACCAACTCCTTCTCAGCCAGCAGTCAGCTGGGTCCCAGGTGACCGCAAAACCTCTGTATGTTGTTCATCGTGACTCTTGAACTCCTAGGACACACCCCTGGGTTCCTCGGGTCCCACTTCCCAGTCTCCCCTCCCACCCATGAGCCCGAGGACCCCTCCTTCTAAGACCCTAGAACAGACTGAGTAGAGAGCGCAGCCTTTCCTCCCCTGGGTGCCTCCCTTTGCTCCCACTGTCCTGGTCTGGCGTGTGCACAGGGAAGCTGCGTTCCTCCAGCCCCACCCCTCACTATAGTTATGATTCCAGACCAGATTCCAGCCTTAAGCACGAAGACCCTGGAGCCAGTGAGGCCTGAAGGCCTGAAGAAGGGGCTTCATGCCCACCACACAACTGGTTCTCATGAAGCATCTTCTTGAATAAACAACGGTCCCACCTCTAGCATGCGAGTCCCTTCTGAATCTCCGCCTTTAGCAATGATGGGCTCCATTTACTGCAGAAGTACAAGGACGGCTGCCTGGTGTTTGTCTCAACACCTGCCCCTACCTCCCTCCGCAGCAAGTTCTCGTTCTCGGGACCCTCCTTAGAGATTTTCAATTTTTTTTTTTTTTTTTTTTGAGATGGAGTTTCGCTCTTGTTACCCAGGCTGAAGTGCAATGGCGCAATCTTGGCTCACCGCAACCTCCGCCTCCTGGGTTCAGGCAATTCTCCTGCCTCAGCCTCCTGAGTAGCTGGGATTACAGGCACGTGCCACCATGCCCAGCTAATTTTTTTGTATTTTTTTTAGTAGAGACGGGGTTTCACCATGTTGACCAGGATGGTCTCGATCTCTTGACCTCGTGATCCACCCGCCTCGGCCTCCCAAAGTGCTGGGATTACAGGCTTGAGCCACCGCGCCCGGCCGAGATTTTCAATTTTCAACATGAAAGCACAATCCGTTCAAACTGTCACAGAACAAGTAGATTCCTACCGCTTTTGGAATTGGTGAAATGATTGGACAGCCATTTCTTTTATGTCATAGTCCTACCCCAGCTGTCCCCGCTTGGAAGTAGGAGGCAGAGGGAAGAGGGAGCCAGTGTCTTCCACCTGTTTGCGGATGCACCCGTAGAGGAGGCAGGAGCGATTCCAAGTCCGATACTACAGAGCCCTGGTTTCCCAAGTGAGGTTAGGTGCAGAGAAGGCATCAGAGTCCCTGTGATCTGCTACTTTAGCTGGGGAGGCCTGTAACATCGAATTACTAGGTTCTTAGTAATCATTTCCCCTGTTAAAATAACACCCATGGGAGATGGAGCTTCCGGTAGGCTGAAGCAGCCCATCTGGGCCTGCAGGTTGTTTCGTGTTGAAGATGGTATTTGCCTCCTGGGGAAAGCATCTTGGTGTGGAGGTTCTGGCTGCGGGGGTTAGGTGCCTGTAACACCCCCTCTCCTCTGTCATCCCTCCCGAGCCAGGCAGGCCTTCAGCACCCACTATACTGAGACTCTTGACTGAGAAGAGACCCCCTCAGCTACTGGGCCTCCACGATGTTGGTCTTCCGTAACTTACAGGCCTGGCCTCCATACTGCCCCACCTTCATGTTGGAGAGTCTTTATTGAATGCTGGGAACCAACACTAACTTAGGCTGAGATCCGCATTCCAGCACACATCCCCAGGGCTCTTTTTCTTCCTTTGAAATAGACGGCTGACTCCGGCCTTTCTTCACTGATGGGCAAGGGCTTCCTGAACTGCTTTGCTTTCTTCTTCATCAAAGTGTCGACCGGTGGATCTCACAGTGTAGTCTTTGGACCAATGGCACCACCATCACCTGTGAGCTTGTTAGAACTGCAGATTCTCTGGCTCTACCCAAGACCTGCTGAATCAGAGACTTTGGAGGTATGGCTGTGCTATCCGTATTTTAACAAGTCCTCTGGGGGATTCACATGCATCCTTACGTCTGAGAACCGCTGGTGTGGTATACTACCCAGGAGCCCTGAGTAGGACACCTCATTTAGTTTTCTGATCCACACAAGGAGAACCTGTCCAGGTGCACTAGGCTTGTGGCTACAGAGTGTCTTCCCCAGGCAGGCAGGCTGCCTACCTCCCACTCGTCCAGTGTGTAACCCATCAGCTGACCCGACAGTGCAGAGGCCAGACTGGGAATCCACTGAATGCCTCGTAAGCTCTTTTCTTCCAGAAGGTGCAGCAGGAATCAGATGGCTGTAGGCATTGCCATAGCAACTGTACCCCTCCGAAGCTCTCATGGGCTGCAGGAGCAGAGTAAGCAGCGCGTAGTATCTGCCAGTGGATGTAGCATCACCAGCAGATGAGAGGGGCTGTGGAGGGAAGAGGAAGCTCGAGGTGGCCAGGACTTATGGACAAGAATTCATTAGAGCTGTTGCTTCCTCAAGACCCACGATGCATTTGGTAGTACTCCAGGGGTTTCCAGCACTGCAAAACAGTGCCAGCCCAGCCTGTGGCCGCATAGCAGCCTGGCTCACCCAGGAGTCAGTAATGCTGCAGTCTCTCAAAAGACTGTCTACCTCAGTTAAATTGGGCTGCTAAGTGGTCACAGAGCAATTAAGATGGAAGTGCCCATCTTCCTTCTGTGATGACCACCTGCGTTCCTCGCCAGGGCTGAGGAAAGGGATCCAGTTCCAAATGTCTGATGGGGATCTGGGTCCTAAAGCAGATGCCAATAGTCACAAAGGAGATCGGGGCTTAGGTAATAGTGGGTATTCTAGCTCTCTTAAGAAGTCAACCTTAGCAGGAACCGGTATCACCAGAATGCACCTGGTACCTGAATGCTGGCCCCAGAGCTGAGGACCCGCAGAGTCAGCAGGGGCTCGGGCAGAGAAAAGGGCCCCATGCCCTTGGAAAGAGGGATCCCTGCTTGCCTGGAGGGCTGGAGAGGGCCAGGGCGAGTGGGACCCCATGGGAAGTTTAGGGGACAACAGTGCTAACCAGTGGGAAGATGAGCCATGGTGCAGAGACGGGTGGAGAGGAAAGGATGGAAGGAGTGAACACCCGCCTCTTTTATTTAATCCTGACTGCTCCTTGCCAGGCTTCCCTGGGACTCCATCTGTGTGCAGCCAGGAGTTGATCCCACCGGCTCTGCACAGTCCTCCTCAAAGCCAAGGCAGGGGTCTGCAGAGGTGGGTGGGGGATGCTGGGGAGCCAGCTGTGGGGATTCTGGCTTCATTACAGTCGCTGCCCTTTATAAATATTTATAGCAGTTCTTCTGCTAAAAATAACATCCTGGAGCCCAGGGAGGAGGAAAAAATAAATGAAAATCACCGGGAATGGGACTCGATCACGTGTGCCTGAGCCGAATGGACCCCCTAAAGCGAAGAGACTGTGAGCAGCGCCCCTGGCGACGCGCCCCCTGGCGGCCACGGAGTCCGTGGCGCAGGGAGTCCCTCC